TGCATGTTACTACGCAACTTCTCCCTTTCCGGTAGTCTTGTGCTTCTCGTCTCTCCTCTCTCCTCCTATCACTTCCTGCAGGTTTTCTGGCTCTGGAGCTGTGGAGTCTGGATCTGCATGGGGTCTGGGTCTGGATCTGTGCTTGCAAGCTTCCTGCTGCCCTGCTGGGTCTCAGTTCTCACACAGAGTCCGGTCTGGATCTGCTGGTCCTCTCGTCCCTCTCTAGTTCACAGTGAGCAGTCGGGTTGTGGTCTGCATGTCATTACATTGTTCTGGTCCAGTGCGAGTGTTTGGGCTCCATATTGATCATCCAAATGTTCTAAACATTAAATACAGTAAACAGGAAGTGATTTGGACGCAGTCTGTCCGTCCTGAGTGCGGTGACAGTTCAGCAGGCGGCCATGTTGTCTCAGCAAGCGGGTTTCTGCTGTCACAGCTGAACCAGCCATTTAGAGCTAACTTCAGGACATCATCCAACGATGGTTGAGGTCAAGGGCAGCTGGACTTGGTTGAAGATACTGGAAGACGTAACGACGTCTTCAAAGTCGTTAGAGCCACCCGAGGCCAAGTCTGAACGACCATAGTTGGCATCTCACCGAAGGCCAAGAGGAAATGCTTGTTCAGTTTCCTGGGAAGTGACGGCTTCTCAACTCGTGTGTAAATGGCTTCCCTCACACCTCTTTCAAACCATCCATCTTCTCTGTCTAAAATGTGCACCTGGTGGTCCTCAAACGAGTGTCCTCTGTCCTTCAGATGTAAGTAGACTGGAGTCTTGACCTGAGGAGTTGGCCCTTCTGTGTGAGCCATGCGTTTGTGTCGTGGTTGTTTAGTCTCCCAATATACAGGTCTGTGCATTCCTCACTGCATTGGACCGCATACACTAGATTGCTTTTCTTCTGTTTGGGTGTGCGGTCTTTGGGGTGGACCAGCATCTCTATATTGGGAGACTAAACAACCACTACACAAACACATGGCTCAACACAGAAGGGCCAACTCCTCAGGTCAAGACTCTGCAGTCTGAAGGACAGAGGACACTCGTATGAGGACCACCAGGTGCACATTTTAGACAGAGATGGTTCTCTGCACGTTGGAAGATGGATGGTTTGAAAGAGGTGTCAAGGAAGCATCTACACCCAGGTTGAGAAGCCATCTCTGAACAGGGGAGGGGGTCTACGCCACCACTTATCCCCCACTTACAATGCTGTCCTTTCATCACTTCCCAGGAAACTCAACAAGTATTTCCTCTTGGCCTCCGGTGAAGATACCAACGATGGTCGTTCAGTCTTGGCCTCGGGTGGCTCTAATGACCATGAAGACTGTCGTTACCACAGCCAGGAGCACTAACGAACCAGCGGTATTGACGATCCTAGCCAACGATCCCACTGACGTTAAATAGAGTTTCCCTACCAGTCAGTCAGAAATGAAAGTCTCTCGGATGAGGGACGAAACGTCTTCTAGCATCTTCAATAAAGTCCAGTTGCCCTGGACCTCAACCATCGTTGGATAACTATGACCTGGATGACTGAGAACCTTCACAGACATCTTCAGGACATCAACAAACAAAGGGCTTCCTCTGGGACTCACCTCTCTTCATCTCCTCTGTCGCCTCTCTCGGTTTGATCATTCGGGGGCTTTTGTGAACTTTGACCTCTGCAAAGGTTCATGGGAGAGAAAGGAGGCGGGCACAGAGACAGATTGGAGGTAAGGTGCCAATCAGACAGAGACACATCGTGGAGCGGGGCGTCAGGACCCAGCTCCAATCCTCTCTCAACGTCCAACAGCTACTAGCTAGCGAGCCTGTTTATGGCCATTCACCTGAGACACTCGCCTGAGAGATTCACCTGAGAGATTCACCTGAGAGATTCACCTGAGAGATTCACCTGAGACACTCGCCTGAGAGATTCACCTGAGACACTCGCCTGAGAGATTCACCTGAGACACTCGCCTGAGAGATTCACCTGAGAGATTCACCTGAGACACTCGCCTGAGAGATTCACCTGAGACACTCGCCTGAGAGATTCACCTGAGACACTCGCCTGAGAGATTCACCTGAGACACTCGCCTGAGAGATTCACCTGAGACACTCGCCTGAGAGATTCACCTGAGACACTCGCCTGAGAGATTCACCTGAGAGATTCACCTGAGACACTCGCCTGAGAGATTCGCCTGAGACACTCGCCTGAGAGATTCACCTGAGACACTCGCCTGAGAGATTCACCTGAGAGATTCACCTGAGAGATTCACATGAGACACTCGCCTGAGAGATTCACATGAGAGATTCACCTGAGAGATTCACCTGAGAGATTCACCTGAGAGACTGGCCTGAGAGATTCACCTGAGAGATTCACCTGAGAGATTCACCTGAGAGATTCACCTGAGAGATTCACCTGAGACACTCGCCTGAGAGATTCACCTGAGAGATTCACCTGAGAGATTCACCTGAGAGATTCACCTGAGAGATTCACCTGAGAGATTCACATGAGAGATTCACCTGAGAGATTCACCTGAGAGATTCACCTGAGAGATTCACCTGAGACACTCGCCTGAGAGATTCACCTGAGAGATTCACCTGAGAGATTCACATGAGACACTCGCCTGAGAGATTCACATGAGAGATTCACCTGAGAGATTCACCTGAGAGATTCACCTGAGAGACTGGCCTGAGAGATTCACCTGAGAGATTCACCTGAGAGATTCACCTGAGAGATTCACCTGAGAGATTCACCTGAGACACTCGCCTGAGAGATTCACCTGAGAGATTCACCTGAGAGATTCACCTGAGAGATTCACCTGAGAGATTCACCTGAGACACTCGCCTGAGAGATTCACCTGAGAGATTCACATGAGAGATTCACCTGAGAGATTCACCTGAGAGATTCACATGAGACACTCGCCTGAGAGATTAACCTGAGAGATTCACCTGAGACACTCGCCTGAGAGATTCACCTGAGATTCACCTGAGACACTCGCCTGAGAGATTCACCTGAGACACTCGCCTGAGAGATTCACCTGAGAGATTCACCTGAGAGATTCGCCTGAGACACTCGCCTGAGAGATTCACCTGAGACACTCGCCTGAGAGATTCACATGAGAGATTCACCTGAGACACTCGCCTGAGAGATTCACCTGAGACACTGGCCTGAGAGATTCACCTGAGAGATTCACCTGAGACACTCGCCTGAGAGATTCACCTGAGACACTCGCCTGAGAGATTCACCTGAGAGATTCACCTGAGAGATTCACCTGAGAGATTCACCTGAGACACTCGCCTGAGAGATTCACCTGAGAGATTCACCTGAGAGATTCGCCTGAGAGATTCACCTGAGACACTCGCCTGAGAGATTCACCTGAGACACTCGCCTGAGAGATTCACCTGAGAGATTCACCTGAGACACTCGCCTGAGAGATTCACCTGAGACACTCGCCTGAGAGATTCACCTGAGAGATTCACCTGAGAGATTCGCCTGAGACACTCGCCTGAGAGATTCGCCTGAGAGATTCACCTGAGAGATTCACCTGAGACACTCGCCTGAGAGATTCACCTGAGAGATTCACCTGAGAGATTCACCTGAGACACTCGCCTGAGAGATTCACCTGAGAGATTCACCTGAGAGATTCACCTGAGACACTCGCCTGAGACACTCGCCTGAGAGATTCACATGAGAGATTCACCTGAGAGATTCACCTGAGAGATTCACATGAGACACTCCCCTGAGAGATTCCCCTGAGAGATTCACATGAGAGATTCACCTGAGAGATTCACCTGAGACACTCGCCTGAGAGATTCACCTGAGATTCACCTGAGAGATTCACCTGAGAGATTCACCTGAGAGATTCACCTGAGACACTGGCCTGAGAGATTCACCTGAGAGATTCACCTGAGACACTCCCCTGAGAGATTCACCTGAGATTCACCTGAGAGATTCACCTGAGAGATTCACCTGAGAGATTCACCTGAGACACTCCCCTGAGAGATTCACCTGAGATTCACCTGAGAGATTCACCTGAGAGATTCACCTGAGAGATTCACCTGAGAGATTCACCTGAGACACTGGCCTGAGAGATTCACCTGAGAGATTCACCTGAGACACTCCCCTGAGAGATTCACCTGAGATTCACCTGAGAGATTCACATGAGAGATTCACCTGAGAGATTCACATGAGAGATTCACCTGAGAGATTCACATGAGACACTCCCCTGAGAGATTCCCCTGAGAGATTCACCTGAGAGATTCACATGAGAGATTCACCTGAGAGATTCACCTGAGACACTCGCCTGAGAGATTCACCTGAGACACTGGCCTGAGAGATTCACCTGAGAGATTCACCTGAGAGATTCACCTGAGAGATTCACCTGAGACACTCGCCTGAGAGATTCACCTGAGACACTCGCCTGAGAGATTCACCTGAGACACTCGCCCGAGAGATTCACCTGAGACACTCGCCCGAGAGATTCACATGAGAGATTCACATGAGAGATTCACCTGAGACACTCGCCTGAGAGATTCACCTGAGAGATTCACCTGAGACACTCGCCTGAGAGATTCACCTGAGACACTCGCCCGAGAGATTCACCTGAGACACTCGCCTGAGAGATTCACATGAGAGATTCACATGAGAGATTCACCTGAGACACTCGCCCGAGACACTCGCCTGAGAGATTCGCCTGAGAGATTCACCTGAGACACTCGCCCGAGAGATTCACCTGAGAGATTCACCTGAGACACTCGCCTGAGAGATTCACCTGAGACACTCGCCCGAGAGATTCACCTGAGAGATTCACCTGAGAGATTCACCTGAGACACTCGCCTGAGAGATTCACCTGAGAGATTCACCTGAGACACTCGCCTGAGAGATTCACCTGAGACACTCGCCCGAGAGATTCACCTGAGAGATTCACCTGAGACACTCGCCTGAGAGATTCACTTGAGACACTCGCCTGAGAGATTCGCCTGAGAGATTCACCTGAGACACTGGCCTGAGAGATTCACCTGAGAGATTCACATGAGAGATTCACCTGAGAGATTCACCTGAGAGATTCACCTGAGACACTCGCCTGAGAGATTCGCCTGAGAGATTCACCTGAGAGATTCACCTGAGAGATTCACCTGAGACACTCGCCTGAGAGATTCGCCTGAGACACTCGCCTGAGAGATTCACCTGAGAGATTCACCTGAGACACTCGCCCGAGAGATTCACCTGAGACACTCACCTGAGAGATTCACCTGATTCACTGATTTGTATTTGCTTAATGTGTCTGACCTTCAATTAAGCTCATCTAATTAAATATCACTAACATCACCTCTGGACTCGGCGCCTTGTGCTGAACATATTACACACTATATATATATATATATATATATATATATATATATATATATAGTGTTAGAACTTTTATGTGCGTCTAAAAACTGCTGTAAAAACTGATATCTGTAAATCGATTTATGTATTAATATAATCTGACTGCTGTAATCAGATTAATATTTTACAATTGTAATGTGAGTAATATGACCAAATGACTGTAATCTGATTACAATAATCTGATGACTGTAATTTGTCTGTTGCAAAGTGTAATCTAAACTCACCAGTCTGATGACTGTAGTCTGATTACACAACAGAGTTCAGCAGAGTCTCACCTTGAACTATCGAACCTGCAGCTGCAGCTCTGTCCTGCTGACGGCTGCTGTGACCTTTGACCTCTACAGCTGATCACAGAGACACGGTGAGAGGGAGACGAGAGAAACAACAAGACAGAAACAGACAGACAAAAAGAAATTTACCTGTAACTGATCCTGAAGACACCTGCAGGCACAGAGACAGAAGGAGGAAGTTCAACTTCAAGATAAAAGTCCAACAGGAAACAGAACCCCCTACAGGCTGCAAGTTCATTACGGCCACGATATGAACAGACGTCATGATGATTTAGTGTTTGCTACTAACTGTAACCTGATTACTGTAATCCTGAGCTTGGTTTACAATAACATTCAAAGATCTATGGCAGGGGTCTGTCCGATATAGGGCTTTAAGGGCGGGTTCACACCTAAAAGTCCGGGTCCGGAAATGGCGGCTGCAAACGCACTACTAGTTCACCCGTCAGCAAAACAGTAAACGTTTTTAACCAATGAAAGGACACACAGTAATACACTTCCTGTGATTGGTTCGAATGGTGGTAACACCAGAAATGAACCGCTCCAGAGTTCACTTGGTCTGAGACCACCTCTGTGAGGCGGACCAGGGAGCAGTTGTCCGGTCCGCACCAGAGTTCAAGTATGCCGTTCACACTGACCCAGCGCTGTGGCGTTCGGTTTAACCGGACTAAACGAGGTCAGTGGGAAGCCACCTTGAGCTGTTAGTTTTTATTTCATGTGTTCTAACCCGAGGAGGAGGAAGGACTTCAGTGTCCGTTATCTGACTAGATTATAGCGACTAGGGTAATCTGTCTACTGTAATCTGACTAGTTTATAGCGACTAGGGTAATCTGACTAGTTTATAGCGACTAGGTTAATCTGACTAATGTAATCTGACTAGTTTATAGCGACTAGGTTAATCTGACTAATGTAATCTGACTAGTTTATAGCAACTAGGGTAATCTGACTAGTTTATAGCGACTAGGGTAATCTGACTAGTTTATAGCGACTAGGGTAATCTGACTAGTTTATAGCGACTAGGGTAATCTGACTAATGTAATCTGACTAGTTTATAGCGACTAGAGTAATGTGATTATTGTAATCTTACCATTGTTATCTGACTAATGTAATCTGACTAGTTTATAGCGACTAGGGTAATCTGACTAATGTAATCTGACTAGTTTATAGCGACTAGGGTAATCTGACTAATGTAATCTGACTAGTTTATAGCGACTAGGGTAATCTGACTAGTTTATAGCGACTAGGGTAATCTGACTAATGTAATCTGACTACTTTATAGTGACTAGGGTAATCTGACTAGTTTATAGCGACTAGGGTAATCTGACTACTTTATAGTGACTAGGGTAATCTGACTAATTTATAGCGACTAGGGTAATCTGACTAATGTAATCTGACTAGTTTATAGTGACTAGGGTAATCTGACTAATGTAATCTGACTAGTTTATAGTGACTAGGGTAATCTGACTAGTTTATAGTGACTAGGGTAATCTGACTAATGTAATCTGACTACTTTATAGTGACTAGGGTAATCTGACTAATGTAATCTGACTAGTTTATAGTGACTAGGGTAATCTGACTAATTTATAGCGACTAGGGTAATCTGACTAATGTAATCTGACTAGTTTATAGTGACTAGGGTAATCTGACTAATGTAATCTGACTAGTTTATAGTGACTAGGGTAATCTGACTAGTTTATAGCGACTAGGGTAATCTCACCTAGTAATCTGACTAGTTTATAGTGACTAGGGTAATCTGATTAGTTTATAGCGACTAGGGTAATCTCACTAATGTAATCTGTCTAGTTTATAGTGACTAGGGTAATCTGATTAGTTTATAGCGACTAGGGTAATCTGACTAATGTAATCTGACGTAATCTGACTAATGTAATCTGACTAGTTTATAGTGACTAGGGTAATCTGACTAGTTTATAGTGACTAGGGTAATCTGATTAGTTTATAGTGACTAGGGTAATCTGACTAATGTAATCTGACTAGTTTATAGTGACTAGGGTAATCTGACTAGTTTATAGTGACTAGGGTAATCCGACTAACGTAATCTGACTAGTTTATAGTGACTAGGGTAATCTGATTAGTTTATAGTGACTAGGGTAATGTGGCTGTAGTCTGAAAAATGTAATCTGCGTGTGTGTATGTGTGTGTGTGTGTGTGTGTTCTCACAGTAGTGTGTGTTATGGTCTGACAACCGGCTCCAGTTTCCAAACTGACCAGCTCCTGCTCCAACCTGCAACAAATATGCAACAAACGTTGATTTTAATCCTGCCTGGAGCTCAGGTTACAATGACTTGTCTGTCTGTGAACTGGCTTTCCTCCTGTAATTTAAACATAAATCTCACCAGACTAGATCAGACCTGTTGATGGTCTCCTCCAGGCTCCTGGTCTAACATCAGACTAGATTAGATCAGACTAGATCAGACCTGTTGATGGTCTCCCCCAGGCTCCTGGTTTTACATTAGACTACATTAGATCAGACTAGATCAGACCTGTTGATGGTCTCCCCCAGGCTCCTGGTCTTACATTAGACTAGATTAGATTAGACCTGTTGATGGTCTCCCCCAGGCTCCTGGTCTTACATTAGATTAGATCAGACTAGATCAGACCTGTTGATGGTCTCCTCCAGGCTCCTGGTCTTACATTAGACTAGATTAGATCAGACTAGATCAGACCTGCTGATGGTCTCTCCCAGGCTCCTGGTCTTACATTAGACTACATTAGATCAGACTAGATCAGACCTGTTGATGGTCTCCTCCAGGCTCCTAGTCTTGGCCTTGTCCTGCTCCAGCTGTCTCCTCACGTCGTCCTGTTCTGGTCCTGCAGCTCCCTCCAGCAGCCAGCGCTCCCTCAGAGCCTTCGACTTGAACACAGACAGGAAGTACAGTCACGCTGGTTCATTGGTATGAAAGAATAAAAGTATAAAAGTACTCTGTGATCTTCAAAAGTATTTTTGTTTTTCAGGTTGACAGTGTGCTTCCTAAACATCTGAATCTGAATGATGTTCTCTGACTCATAAGTAAAACTGGCTTGTTCACATCATAATGTTTAAAAGAATCCAAAAGTCATGAACAAGGAAGCTAAAATCAGGACAAACTCTTGTGTTTGTACAGCCTTTGACACCATCTCTCATAACATCCTCCTTGACAGATTAGTCACTATTGGTTTGGACCGGTTTAAATCATCTCTCTCTGGCCGCACTCACTTCATCCAACTCAAAACATTTCAAATCAGAGCTACCCCCCCTGTCACTACTGGTGTTCCCCAGGGCTCTGTCCTGGGGCCCCTTCTGTTCATCATCTATCTGCTTCCACTTGGCCATATCTTCCGTAAATTTAACATCCAGATCCACTGATATGCAGATGACATCCTGCTCTACCTGTCCACCAAACCTACCACATCTCTCCCACCCACCCCCTCTCTGATTGCCGGAACGGAAATCAAATCCTGGTTCTCTTGCAACTTCCTCAAACTTAACAGTGACAAAACCGAGGTCCTCCTCATTGGCACCAAATCCACTTTGACTAAATCTAAATCTGTTTTTCTCTTACCATTGACAACTCCACATTTTCCTCCTCCTCTCCGGTCAAGAGTCCGGGTGTGATCCTCGACACTTTCATTTCAAGCTCACATTAATAATGTCACTCGGTCTGCATGCTTCCATTTACGTAACATTAATCGCCTCCGTCTGTCTCTCTCACCCACTAGTACAGCCATTCTCATTCGCACACTGCTCACATCCCGCATTGATTATTGTAATTCTCTTCTCGTTGGTCTTCCTCTCAAATCCATACATAAACTTCAACTGGTTCAGAACTCTGCTGCCCGGATCATCACCAGAACCCCTTCTATTAATCATATCACTCCTGTCCTTCAACAGCTTCATTGGCTCCCAGTTAAATACCGCATTGATTTCAAGACTCTGCTCCTAACCTTCAAGGCCATTCATAACCTCGCTCCTCGGTACCTCACTGACCTCCTTCATATAACACCCCCACCCGTAGTCTTAGGTCTTCTTCTGTTCACCTCACTGTACCTCCTGCTCGTTTGACCACCATGGGGTTCAGAGCCTTCAGCCGCTCGGCCCCTCGTCTCTAGAACTCTCTTCCACCAGACCTCCGCAACATTGACTCGCTTTCACTTTTTTTTAAATCTCGCCTGAAAACACATCTTTTTAAACTGGCATCACTCTGTCATCACTCATTATGTACCCTGATTTTATGCACTGTAATTATAGTTAATTTTATTGATTTATTTATTATTTACTGTACTGTTCTATTATGTTTTGTGAGGTGACCTTGACTGTTCAGAAAGGTGCATATAAATAAAATGTATTATTATTAAATCACCACAAGTAAACACAAAATGCAATTTATAAATGAAGGCTTTTATTATCAAGGGGAAAAACTCCAAACCTACATGGCCCTGTGTGAAAAAGTGATTGACCCCTAAACCTAATAACTGGTTGGGCCCCTCTTCCAACTAGTGGTGGAAGAAGTACTCAATTTTCATACTTAAGTAAAAGTACAGTTACCACGTGAAAAATGTTACTCAAGTAAAAGTAAAAGTCATCCAGTGTAAACCTACTCGGATAAAAGTAAAAAAGTACCTGGTTTTAAAAATACTTAAGTAATCAAAAGTAAAAGTGTTATGGCAGAAAATTGTGTCCTCTTGCATTTAATCTTATATGTATGATCTTTTACTTTTTACTTTTACTATTATATCCTTATTATATCCTTAACCTTTCCTCTCCTATACTTCTTATGTTAGTCTGTCCACATTTCCTAGGGTTTAGGTCAGAGCTGTGAGATTGTTTTTGGTGCTTTCCCTCTCTTGTTGTTCCTCTCCTCTCCTGGAATGTTCATTCAAGGCCGAGAGAGGATCTCTGTTCCCCAAAACACAGAAACCTAGACTGTGTAAATGATGATGCATCCCTTTGCTTGGGGCCAGATGTTAGTGACTGTCTTAGGAGACAGAACCTCTGGTCCAGCTGATTTGTGTTGTAGTACTTTTCTGTTTATTCTCTTTTGTTAAATAAATTCTTCAAAGGCAACAGTTTGTTGTAACTGAATTATTTGCTCAGCCCCTCACCAGGAATATAATTTCCACGACAAAAAGTACTACACATCAAAATCTATTAATCTTACAAAACGCAATCTATCTATTTAAAATGACTCAAGGCAGGTTTGAATACAGCATCATAAGTTATAGTGAGTCACAGTAAGGAAAACTGAGTCGCAGTGGATATTTCCTATACTGTGGGGGGATAAGTCTACATTATTGCCCTGCTGGTGTGGTAGTATCTCCTTCAGACCGTCTGACAGACAAAGAACCACGTTTGGGACATTGGGTATATTAAGATGAGACAAGGAGGCGGAAACCAAAACTAACTGAAACACTTCTCAGTTCACAATCTCACCAAAAAGCCACACATGTTGACTTCAGCACCTCTCATAAAGTGCAGCTCACAGTCCCACACAGACCTGGCTGGTTTCTATGGCAAACTCTACCAGCTACATTACCACTCGGTCACAGACTGGCTGCGACTCAAGGCTCGTGCAGACTACACGACTTTCAGCGTCGGCCGATGGCCGTGCTGTTCACACTACACAGCTCGCCGTCTTGTGAAGTGTCTTGAAGTCGTTGTGGCGTTCACATTACGTGACTTTTCGGTGACAGTCGAACTACACGAGCTGACAGCGGATCTGTGACCCGATGCTGGTCTCCAAACCACGTTTAGTCAGGAAAACACACGTGAAATGTTAAATGGGAAATGGGGCAATCCTGCACAGGAAACAGCTGTTGTTTGTTATTATAAAGATGGTTCAGCACAGCAGGGATCGTCTGAGCTACAGAGAGCTGGAGGGGAGTAAAAAGGGTTTTGCAGTGAAAAAGTAGCTGCCTGCTCTCATTGGCTGGATGTCAAGTCAGCCAACTCCTCCAGATATTTGGCGTGCTAGATATCTGCCAGACGTCTGCGATGTGTCAGAAATGTGTCGGGGAGCTTTTTGATGCGTCATTGATTAGTTCACACATAACGACTGGTGACCGCCGATCGACCGCTGATTTACTCACGATCACAGCCTGACGGTCGTCAAGCGGCACATCGGGCTATAAACCGTGCAGTGTGAACTCGGCTTCATAGAGCAAATACAGAGCTGCCGCACAGTCACACCTGACACCACAATGCTCTCACTGCAATCCTCCCTCTGTGAGAAGCCTGAATAGAAACCTCTACTAGACAAATCCAGTGCTGGTTTGAACAGACCTCTGCACACTAACTTGGCCCTCATGAAGTCTGATAAGATTCGGGGCCAGTCTGCTGGGTCATTTGGTGGAGCAACTGTTTCATTAGGGTCTGAGCTGCTGGCTGTACATCTCTGGCTGTGCTCGTACTGGCTGAGGCTGGACGTGTTTCACCTGGGTCTATGTGACGTGCTAAAGACATCTGGGGTCTCATTTCTAAACGGTGCGTACGTTCAAAACAGGGCTGGAAACGTGCGGACGCCACTTCCCACGCAAAGGTTGTGATCCAATGTGCGTCCTGTAAGTAAAGGAGGAGAAAAGAGAAAAGGCGCCGCACACGGCAGAAGGATGTAACGCTTTGAAATGAAGAGGTGGAAAATAAATCCAAATATTCCCTCTGAGTATTCCAGGCTTAAAGCCTTTCTGAATAAATAGTGGCACAAAAAAAAAATAATAATAATTTAAGATCATTTGCAGCCACAAAGATCCAGATTCAGGATCAGAAACACAAACGGAGAAAGAACGCCTCAGATATGTTGCACAGTTTAATCAGGAATCAGATTAATTAATACCTGCATGCAGCAATTTATTCTCCTGAATAAGGTGAACAGGAGACAAATTACATTTAAACTGATGCTGTTTTCAGAGCGTCAGTCGAGCCAATAGGAGAGCAGAGTTTCATATACTGTTATCAGATGTTCGTGGAGCCAAACGCTGAGCGCCGGCGTGTGGATGTGATGCTGCTTGTAAAAACACGTTATGGAAATAAAACACTATTTTATGTCATTACAACACGTCCTACTTCTTTAACTCGTCAGCAGCCTCGTTCAGCGAGCCGACTGTTTGTGGAAATAAATGTTTAAACACAGAGGAAGTCATGTGTTTTCCTCTCTTTTCAAACGGGGGAATCCAAAACCAAGAATGCAAAGAACGGGCTTGTGTTCTTGGGGAGAACATTCTTGCTAGCTGGGATATCTCTGCCGTCAAGTTCACACAAGTTACCAACCGATGGGCCATGATGTCAGTTTGGATTTTTTCCCCTTCTTCCCCTTCCCCTAAAACCCTTCATTTAAAAACTGCATTTTGTGTCATCTTTGTCTAATATTACAATTTGTCTGATGATCTGAAACATTTCAGTGTGACAAACATGCAGAAAAATAAGAAATCAGGAAGGGGGCAAACACTTTTTCACACACATATATACATATACATAAATATATATACACATATACATGACTATATATTATCTGTGTTCATCTTTACTTTGGCTCAGTTTGGTCCCCTTTTGTGGATTTTGCAGAATCAGGTTCAGATCAGATGATATCTGAAGCAGACGTGTTTCTGAGAGTGGATGTGTCATGTGATCAGTCTGCATTAAAAATACTCAGTTATTTCAAAGCCGCGGCTGCGAGTCTGGGGTGAAAGCAGTTGCAGCGTTTCTGTCTGATCCGAGATCAGCTGCAGATATTTTACTCTGCAGCTGTTCGCAGACTCAAAGCTTTGGGCCGCCACACCTCTGGATCTACGCTGTAAGATAAATCCCTCTCAATACAAGGCCAGCTGGCCCTCAAGGGCCACAGGGGCTCCTGGCTTACTGTGTGTGGTCATTAGCTGGTTTATATTGTTGTGAATGTTTTAGCGTATATTTCTCAGACTTTTTTATTGCTTTCATTCAGTGTTACTGTTGCTGTTGGTAGTTTGAGCTAAATTCTAATAAGAGTGACGCGATCAGCAGCGGCTGTATCTGACCCCGTGTCAAAATTTTGTTTTAAGACCTTTATTATGCTTACATATGCTTTTAGATATGCACGGGCCAGGACCGGAGCGCTCTGCAGCGGTGTAGTCAAACAGAAGATCGTTGGTACCCATCTCCAGAGTGATGTCGGTGAGGTGCCTGCAGAGCCCAAAGGATACTGAAGGACAGAACCCACCTAGCCACAGCCTGTTCACCCTGCTGCATGCTGGGAAGAGATGTAGAAGTTTCTGCTGCCGCACCACCAGACTGCAGAGCAGCTTTTCCCCCCAAGCCGTCAGACTCTTAAACTCTAATTCATCCTCAGCTCTGCTCCACTCATCGTAGTTTATTTAATTTTTAAAACTGAGTTTATTTTGATGTGGACTAAATGTTGCAGTATAGTTACAAACTATATTTCACTCAAACAAACAAATAAACCTTCCTTGTACCTTGTAAGAACAGACTACAATGTGTTATTTAATGTATTAGTTATCTTATCGTTAGCTTTTATTGTCGATAGGACAGCCGAGCCCAGGCCGCTGGCTTCAGGACTGGCAAGCGTTCTGGACTTCGTGAGGTAACCGACGCCTATAGTCGACTGATATTCGAATCACGTGTGTATTTGTGTGGCGGTGACTGTGAGTGGGGGGCGTTACTCACGGTGAATCCGCTTTAATCTGGAGAAGCTACAGAGCCGCAGTCTCTGTTCGTTTCTCACTGTAACTTACACTGCACATTTCTTGTGCAGAGTTTAGCGTGCATGCCGTGAGGCCGACATCTGCACGCACGTTGCAGTTCCCCGCGGGTCTATTTCAAGTAACTTATTAAAAGCAACATAATATTCTTTGTGTGGTTCATCAATGGTGAAAAATGATCTGCACGTCCCGTGTTCGGTGCAGACAACTCAACAACAGTGCTGCTGAGGCTCGGTCTCCTCAGCAAGTGTTCCTCTGCTGCCACTACACCCACACATTTGCATTGGCGCCCCTTCCTTAAGGGTTAGGGTTACAATTTAGGATTCATTCACGCACTTTCAAACATTTATTAAAAACTTTTTTCTTTTCACATGTTTATTTACAGCATTATATGTTGGAATTTATATTGTAACAGGCAGCATATCAACTTAATGGGAGAAAACTGGTAGTACTATGTAAAATCAGACGGCGAGCACCCCATATCACCAAAAGGGTATAATCCTCGTTTCGCTGCAAAGACTTATAGTTTAATTAGGCTCCATCCATTGACTCTTCGACTATTTGGGGTCAGCCCTGAAGGCAACGTTACCCAGCGGATAGTCAGCAGGGATGTGAACCATCAACCTGCCGTCTTACCTTCAGGTGCTGCAGAGCTCTCCGGTCGTCCTCCAGCTGACGCTTCTTGTTCTCGATCTCGGTCTGCCACTTCCTCTTCTCCTAGGGCATGATGGGAAACAGAATCAGACACACAAAGCTAAAGCTTCTAGCATGTGGAGACTGAGAGCTCTCATCACGGACACGCCAACCACTTTCAGATCTTATACTGCAAATTAACTTTTACTCTTCAGTAAATGCTGTTCCATAGCATTCACAAATATTTCACCACCGCTGGTCTGCTGGTTGAACATTGATCAAACTAATTTCTGTGGTTTGACCGTGTCTTTTTCACACGTAAGTTTATCGTTACCTTCAGGGAATGTCTATCAAGTCAATTTACATACCACAGACACCGGTGCAGAGCAGAATGGGCTTCCTTTAACAACTAACAGCTGCAATGCTGTAAACTAAAATTCAGAAAGCAATATGAAGAGCAGCTGCAGGCATCCGACACACTACGCTCGTTAGTTAGTGAGCTTCAAATGAGGCTTATCGTTCAGTTTCTCTCGATTGTCCCTCAGTATCTCAACATCGCAGAGGCTGCTAGCCACATTAGCCACGCAATATGCGAACGCTAAGTTAGCTAACCTTCAAAATTAACAGTACAACCTAAAACACGGAAACACTTCAGCCTTTAGACATACCAACTGACGACGCTCCAGCCGCTTTCAGCCTTTACACATACCAACTGACGACGCTCCAGCCGCTTTCAGCCTTTAGACATACCAACTGACGACGCTCCAGCCGCTTTCAGCCTTTACACATACCAACTGACGACGCTCCAGCAGCTTTCAGCCTTTACACATACCAACTGACGACGCTCCAGCCGCTTTCAGCCTTTACACATACCAACTGGCGACGCTCCAGCCGCTTTCAGCCTTTACACATACCAACTGACGACGCTCCAGCCGCTTTCAGCCTTTACACATACCAACTGACGACGCTCCAGCCGCTTTCAGCCTTTACACATACCAACTGGCGACGCTCCAGCCGCTTTCAGCCTTTACACATACCAACTGACGACGCTCCAGCCGCTTTCAGCCTTTACACATACCAACTGACGACGCTCCAGCCGCTTTCAGCCTTTACACATACCAACTGACGACGCTCCAGCAGCTTTCAGCCTTTACACATACCAACTGACGACGCTCCAGCCGCTTTCAGCCTTTACACATACCAACTGACGACGCTCCAGCCGCTTTCAGCCTTTACACATACCAACTGACGACGCTCCAGCCGCTTTCAGCCTTTACACATACCAACTGACGACGCTCCAGCCGCTTTCAGCCTTTACACATACCAACTGACGACGCTCCAGCCGCTTTCAGCCTTTACACATACCAACTGACGACGCTCCAGCCGCTTTCAGCCTTTACACATACCAACTGACGACGCTCCAGCCGCTTTCAGCCTTTACACATACCAACTGACGACGCTCCAGCAGCTTTCAGCCTTTACACATACCAACTGACGACGCTCCAGCAGCTTTCAGCCTTTACACATACCAACTGACGACGCTCCAGCAGCTTTCAGCCTTTACACATACCAACTGACGACGCTCCAGCCGCTTTCAGCCTTTACACATACCAACTGACGACGCTCCAGCCGCTTTCAGCCTTTACACATACCAACTGACGACGCTCCAGCCGCTTTCAGCCTTTACACATACCAACTGGCGACGCTCCAGCCGCTTTCAGCCTTTACACATACCAACTGGCGACGCTCCAGCCGCTTTCAGCCTTTACACATACCAACTGGCGACGCTCCAGCCGCTTTCAGCCTTTACACATACCAACTGGCGACGCTCCAGCCGCTTTCAGCCTTTACACATACCAACTGACGACGCTCCAGCAGCTTTCAGCCTTTACACATACCAACTGACGACGCTCCAGCCGCTTTCAGCCTTTACACATACCAACTGACGACGCTCCAGCCGCTTTCAGCCTTTACACATACCAACTGACGACGCTCCAGCCGCTTTCAGCCTTTACACATACCAACTGACGACGCTCCAGCAGCTTTCAGCCTTTACACATACCAACTGACGACGCTCCAGCCGCTTTCAGCCTTTACACATACCAACTGGCGACGCTCCAGCCGCTTTCAGCCTTTACACATACCAACTGGCGACGCTCCAGCCGCTTTCAGCCTTACACATACCAACTGACGACGCTCCAGCCGCTTTCAGCCTTTACACATACCAACTGGCGATGCTCCAGCAGCTTTCAGCCTTTACACATACCAACTGGCGACGCTCCAGCCGCTTTCAGCCTTTACACATACCAACTGACGACGCTCCAGCAGCTTTCAGCCTTTACACATACCAACTGACGACGCTCCAGCCGTTACAATGTGCTGCTTTAGGCTCTTACACTTCAAACCCTTACACTGCTCTGACCACATCTCACATGCAAACTATCAATGTGTTAATGCTTTTCAACCGGTTGACACCTGCAAAGGAAACACACAGTACACAGTATTATCGCGGATGTACACACAGTAATACTACTTATAGTACTGCAGTTACTGCTGAGGCCTGAGACAGCAGGATGATCGAGTTACACAGGTGTGTGTGTGGATCAATCAAGTGCATTAGTGAAAGAGCTTTGAAACAGACCTCAGATCAGCTGACAGTGGGGAAATATCTGCTGCTGTTGGAGGTTTATATCACATGTAAAAATACGCACATGTTCATAGTGTGTGTATTTGTATATTTATACAGGCGTGTGTATTTATACAGGTCTGTGTTGAGGTGGTGCATTCACTGACAGTATGTAAACTGGACTCACTGCGAGGAGCTGCAGTCGGTCCTGCTGACAGTCGCCGTCATTCACCCTGAGGACAGACAGACACATCAGAGTTCACCATGTTTCAGCCGTTACATCAGTCCGTCCAATCACAGGCCGCCTCACCCAGGAGGTTGTGGTTGTGGGTGGAGCCACAGTCTGATGATCAATAACCCATTTATATTTGAATGTGAACGGGAAGTTCCTGGATCCGGTTTCAGACTGAGGAAATGAAGCGGCTCTAAATAAAATATGAAGGAAATGAAGCGGCTCTGATGTTCAAGTGTGAATCTGGACCCAACGTTAGCTGGGAGTCCAAACCTGTACACGGTTGGTGGCTCTGAACTCTGTTGGGTCTGGATGTTTGAGTCTCAGGACTGCAGTTTATCTGCAGCCAGTCAGGCTGCAGATAAACATGAGTGTTAGCCGGTAGCTGTTAGCTCGCTGCCACTGAAGCTCCCTGGTTGTGTTGATTGATTAGTTCAGAGTCCTGGAGGTGGATCACCTGTTCAGGTAAACCGTGTGCTGTTCTGTGGAAAAAAACTTTTATGTGAACACATAATGAGTCCCACGTGGACTCCTGGACCGATGTGGGTCAGGGTCCCTGCTGAGTCCCACGTGGACTCCAGGACTGATGAGGGTCAGGGTTCTGCTGTGAAACAGTTAAACTGGGACCAGCCGATTCGCTGAGCTCAGCACAGTTTTGTTTCAGTGGATCTGAACTCAAAGGATCCTGAACAAAGCTGCTGTCCGGCTCCATGGAGACTCCACAACAGACACTCTGAGGGGTCAGATCCAGTTCAGTCCAGTTACTGAAGTGTGCTTCAGATCTGAGCAGCTGATTCTGATCGATCAGTTATTGACCAGAGAACGCTGGTGGATTTTAAGGACAGAGGCATGATGGGTAATGAGACAGCAGGTCTGAGTGGTCAGTTTGAAAATGTGAGTCAGCAGTTTGTCTGCAGTCCTGGTCCTGTCATGGACCCGCCCCTGACCTCTGACTCTGAAGTCTTGGTCCCATCACAGACCTGCCCCTGACCTCTGACTCTGAAGTCCTTGTCCTGTCACGGACCCGCCCCTGACCTCTGAGGTCCTGGTACCATCACGGACCCACCCCTGACCCGCCCCGACCTCTGACTCTGAAGTCCTTGTCCTGTCACGGACCCGCCCCTGACCTCTGAGGTCCTGGTACCATCACGGACCCACCCCTGACCCGCCCCGACCTCTGACTCTGAAGTCCTTGTCCTGTCACGGACCCGCCCCTGACCTCTGAGGTCCTGGTACCATCACGGACCCGCCCCTGACCTCTGACTCTGAAGTCCTTGTCCTGTCACGGACCCGCCCCTGACATCTGAGGTCCTGGTACCATCACGGACCCGCACCTGACCTCTGACTCTGAAGTCCTTGTCCTGTTACGGACCCGCCCCTGACCTCTGATTCTGCGGTCCTGGTCCCGTCACGGACACGCCCCTAAGGCTCCATCCCCACTGCAGCACCGCACACAGGAAGTGAACTGAACTCACTTTCAAAATAAAAAGATGGCACTTTTGAGGGAAGTGCTGTGTCAAACATTTTACACACAGAGACCAGAACAGAGCTCACAGAGACCACGTTGAACCAGGAGAGTTCAGGCCTTTAACCGTCTGCTGTGTCAAACACAGTAAACTGATTGATTATTGATGAAAACTGATGACTCATGAATTCAAATTTTCAAACGACATGAAGACAATGACTCAATGAGAAGTTTTATTATTAGTCTCATACGCAGAGTCCTCCGACCCTGCATAGACCTCCGATCCTGCATAGACCTCCGATCCTGCAGAGACCTCCAGCCCAACCCTTGCAAAGCTCAATACAAATAAAGTTTATTTTTAATAACAAAAGCGGACCCTAGAAAGGCTTTTATTTTGAAAATATGTATATGTCTATATGCGATACTGAACAGCAGCTATTGACCATAAATCAGGTCCTTCATGGCAAAAACTGATCAATATGTAATTATAAAGGCTCGTGCAGCTCATTGATAAGTGACCAGCTCTGTCCGGTCTGCTTCCGCCCAGAAAAGTAGACCCGGACAATTTGTGAGTCCGCCCAGATTTAATGTGATTTAACCCTTTAAAGTCTTCCTGCAGTGGCTCTCAGCTCTCACTCTCCAGTCCGCAGCTTAAATCGCTGATTTTTCGAACGGAGTTTGGCGCAGTTTCATTCCGCTCCGCTGCGGTTTCCTGCATAAAGACCCTGACTCAGCGTCTGACGGACTGATGCCGCACAATGACGACACACGAGGCACCGCACGCTCACATTCAAGCCACAGTTCACGTCACACACACATAAAGAAAATTACACACATGAAGAAGAAACAGACAAGAAATAAATGTGTACTCACTCCTCCATGTCTGTGCTGATCAGTCCGCTGCAGCCCGAATCATCTGATCCACATCCGAGAGTGGAGGGACCCGCCCACCGGGGGGGGGGGGGGGGGGGGGCAGGAGCCGGAGATGGGAGAGCAGGGGAGGAATAGGGAGGAAACGGGAGAGGAGACAGATGAAGGAGAGGAGACAGAGGGAGGTGATGGAGGAGAGGGGAGGAATCAAGGGGAGGAAACATGAGGAGGAAAAGGGAGGAAACAAGGAGAGGAAACAAGGGGGGAGAGGAGATAGATGGAGGTGATGGAGGAATAGGGAGGTAACAAGGGGGGAGAGGAGACAGATGGAGGAGAGGAGACTGAGGGAGGTGACAGAGGAGAGGGGAGGAAAGAAGGGGGGGGGGGGGGGGGGCAGGAGCCGGAGATGGGAGAGCAGGGGAGGAATAGGGAGGAAACGGGAGAGGAGACAGATGAAGGAGAGGAGACTGAGGGAGGTGATGGAGGAGAAGGGAGGAAACAAGGGGAGGAAACATTAGGAGGAAAAGGGAGGAAACAAGGAGAGGAAACAAGGGGGAGAGGAGATAGATGGAGGAGAGGAGACTGAGGGAGGTGATGGAGGAGAAGGGAGGAAACAAGGGGGGAGAGGAGATAGATGGAGGAGAGGAGACTGAGGGAGGTGATGGAGGAGAAGGGAGGAATCAAGGGGAGGAAACATGAGGAGGAAAAGGGAGGAAACAAGGAGAGGAAACAAGGGGGGAGAGGAGATAGATGGAGGTGATGGAGGAATAGGGAGGTAACAAGGGGGGAGAGGAGACAGATGGAGGAGAGGAGACTGAGGGAGGTGACAGAGGAGAGGGGAGGAAAGAAGGGGGGGGGGGGGGGGGGGGGCAGGAGCCGGAGATGGGAGAGCAGGGGAGGAATAGGGAGGAAACGGGAGAGGAGACAGATGAAGGAGAGGAGACTGAGGGAGGTGATGGAGGAGAAGGGAGGAAACAAGGGGAGGAAACATTAGGAGGAAAAGGGAGGAAACAAGGAGAGGAAACAAGGGGGAGAGGAGACAGATGAAGGAGAGGAGACTGAGGGAGGTGATGGAGGAGAAGGGAGGAAACAAGGG